TCCAGATTTATGGCCATCTTGAACAAAGACCCTCAAAATAATTTATGGATTACGGTAATGAATTGGCTAGAAGCTTGCCGGGAAGGCATTTACCAAAGCAACTGAGTGTGAAAGGGCTGCAGTTACAAGTAAGAGAGCTCAGGCTTTTTTGAGGTGCAGTAAATAAAAGTGACACTGCACATTGGGCAGTTTCCTCATTTAAAAGCGACAGCATAGAACTGCAAGGGAATTTTCTTACCATGTAGTCCCCGCGGGAAAAAAAGCCCTCCAACAAAGCACATGAACAGCCAGTTAACAAACGCAATGGGACATTCAAGAAGAATAACAGACTTGTAATATATCTACAAATTTGGAGATTGTGTTGATAAATTTGTTGATGAACTTGGAATCAATTGTTTGTTGGGTATTAATTTTACACTGGAGGTTTTCATACCTGATATCTGTGGTCCATCCACAGGAGCCAGGGTATACTATAGTAAATAGCTGTAGTTATCTAGATGTAGAACCAAGAGCCAAATTGCTGCAGAACAAGTTGCATCATATACAAAACCATCCATTTAAATGTTCTGTGTTTTGTGGCATCAGTATCATTCCTCAATGTCCAACTCTAATATTTACAGTTTATTACTTCTTTTTTTTACCATTTGCACAATGTGCAATACAAGTCTGTATTGATGTTTGCTTTGCCAGCATATAACAGAAAACAGATAGGGCGTGTTTCAGCTAATCCTCCAGGCTAGATGATAGGGTAATTAAGAGATCCAAAGAGATAGCTGTTCTTGCCAATGCCCTTGCTTTTCAGCCAAAATGTGTTTGTTTTTTTCTCCCTTTTTTCCCCCATTCAGTCTGGAATCAGCAGTTGCGGGCCACCCACACTGGTGCAAGAAAGACTGCAGCTGAAACACACACCATTTCCCAACAGTCTGTAAGCTGGTGACAGTTTTTCACACTGCGAGTGGGCTAGCACCAAAGAGAGGACAGTCACTAATGATAGGAGGAATTAGGGTGGAACCCCGGTCATCTTAAACCCACCCTACACCTGCAAGATTGAGGCCAACTGTCCCCCACAACCATTGACTTTGACCACCAATGACATAGCCTAGGCTTGGACCTATAACTATAGGGCCTGGCGTAAGTGTTTTAGTCATTTTTTTCTGTGTTATATATGTTCTGCTCTGTTGCAGGGCCACTGTCAGCAGTACATCCGTTCTGCCTGCAGCTGCAGAGCTGGTGCAGAACTGAGAGTAGGAGAAAGCTGACTTTGCTCGTTTTTTTACACTTCAGTGCAAAACCTCAGAATAGACCCTACATGTAAAATCCATGAAATGTGTTTGGAGAGCAGGTTTTAGCTAACGTCTCCACAGGGCAATGATCACAGATTTAAGCTGAAGCATTTCAGTGTTAACCATTATATAACCATCCTATAACCAGTAAGAAATTTCCATTCACATAAAAAATTGGAAATGAAACGACAACTCGTATAAACTGCTTTAATGCAATTAGATAGATGAGTCTATATTGAATCATAGTTCCCGTTTGCAAGAAAATGTTTTCTTTGTTGTCCAGCCAGTTAATTGTTCATGAGAGTATTAAATTGGGCTGATGGGTGGATCATCCTGTTTGCTATCGAATTCAGACCATGCCATTGCCAGCTGTGAGCTCAATTTAAATTGTCGCTCTGTGGAGTTAAAAGAAACAGCAAACAACAGCATTATGTCTTTTGGAGCATGTGAATGAAATAAGAGGAGGTTGAAGCACACAAATATAAAACCAAAATGTGAGAAAGACTAAAACTCGGGGCAACATTTAGATTAAAATAGGAACTGCATGCGTGATGTTATTCTCCTCTGATTCATAACACCCTTGAACAGTGTACACTATGCTCATTACAACAAAATGGGGGAACATCTGAGTTTAAACAGCTGTTTATTTTAACATCAGCTTTTGTGCACGGCTCCACCCACTCCTTGACATTATCAAACGCTCTGCTCCAAAACACAAATTCATTTTTAAAAAGAATCGTGACTGACTCAGTCCCCACTCGCCCAGCAGAGTGGCATTGTAAGGGCACTAATGTCTAAAAATATGTGAAGTGATGCTTTACCATCTGATGAAAAAAAAAAAACCTTTTAAAGGAGTTGTTTGAGTCCACAGCTCTGAGTGGTGCATAATGGGAGAATGATGGCACCGTCCAGCATTACAGCCACTCTTCGCACTCGTCTCCCACGCCCCAATTTTATGTTTTGTGGGGGCCAGGGCTTGTGTTTAGTTGAGATTGTTTATGGGGATGGGGATCCGAGGTGCTTCTGCAAAGTGGAGCGTGATGGGGCGGGGGTGTGGGTGGGGAGTGTAGGGGGGGGTGACTTCATGTTGAGTGGATTCAGATTGATGGATTATATCCGCAGGATTACGGTTCAATCAGGATCATTCTTCCCCCGTCCCTCCACTCTCCTGTGCCAGGGAAATGCTGTGTCCAGCCGCCCCATCACACCTGCTCACAAATCGTCATCACATCGTTATGTCATCTGACGTGGTTTCCCAACGGCCGATAAACAAGATCTATGGGGCCTGGGTAGTCTCAAGTGCTGTCTGAAATATGTGCTGTAATGCAAATTAATAATTCATGTCATTCAATTATATTTTGGTTTGAAAGTTGCATCGACCTCTTTTTGTTTTTGCGTTTTCCGGAAACATCAGTCCTTCCTCCATTAAAATTTTGGTATTCCATCAATGGTAGCTGCTGTTCCATGCATTTGATGTTGGCCAGTTTCTCCCACTTAATAAATAAAGAGTGAGGTGAGTTTTGTGTGGGCTCTCCTGTTTTTAGACTGCCCATTGATTTATGGGTATTTACAAAGTAAATTCTAATTCGCAAGTGGGGCGATGACCTTCTCTTAGTATTTCACTGTGACTTGTGATGATGCAATATTTTGAACTGATGGTACACTTCCTCAGACATGTGACTCAGAGATCACTGTCTGTCTGGGGGGGGGGCGTTGGGGCTGGGCTGGGCTGGGCTGGGGGAGTGGGGTGTCTCGAGATAACACCCCTGTCATGGCATTCCCGATTCCCGGTTACACATGGACCCAGAATGACAGAAGCTCCTGCATCTCACTCTGCCTTCTCAAGCATACGCGGCCAGCAATGTCAGAACCATCAAGGTCATGCCGGTCTCTCAGTGCACGCCTGGATAGTGATGGCACATTAAGTAAAGATGGTAGTGGGCAACAATGCGCAAGTCTTTTTTTTCTCCCCAAATCTGTTTGTCCTGGGGGCATAAAAGACCCAAAGAGCTTGCGTGACTTGGAAACGAGGGGAGGGAAAAGGGAGAGAGACAGAGAGAGAGAGTGAGAGAGGGAAAATGGGAGACACAGAAGAGAGCGACTGGGGGAAGGACTGTAGCACGTTGAATGATCTGGTTGATCTGCAGGAGAGCGCTGACCTACTTTCCCATGACATGTTATGGTTGGTGAGCACAGTCCAGCAATTTCTACAGCAGAAATAGCAGCCTTGCTGTAGGCCCCCATTTGAGTTGTCCCCCATGCCCCCCCCCCCCCCCCCCCATCTGAACACTGGCTTAGGAGATGAGACACACAATGCCTTATAGGAGAATCCAGCCAACCCCCGGCCCCACCCCCACACTCTCTCTCTGTCTCCACCCCCATTCCCTGTGCCCAATTTACCCTGCAGTGCTCGGCACTGTCTGCTCTGCGGTCTCTCCAATTGGAGAAATGAGATGTTTCAAAATTACTAGAGTAACTGATAAGGAGGTGGTGGGGGGAGGGAGGAATCCCCCGGGGATCCTGCAGTTTATTTGAAATCTATTCACTATGTCTGTACTTCCCACTGAACAATGAGCCACAAAGACTTAAAAATGAGGAAGTAATCTAGTTTTTTCTCCTATGCTGTTTGTTGGAATGGAGGAGGCCACAGGAGAATAAAAGACTTCAGGGAATGTCTGTGGTAATCAGCGCGATTGGTACTATTGGTGCTGAATAAACATTGCTGGTAAACACAGGGCATGGACTGGAAGAGATTCCTGCAGTGATAAAGGGTGCAAGACTTACACACTGCATAATTCAGTGCTGTAGTTCAGAGCGTCACATCATTGCTACTAATATTTTGAGATTAACATGGAGAGTTGGACAGAAATCATTGATCAGACGCTGCAGGTGTTAAGCACAGATGCAGAACTAAAGACATTGATCTGACAGATTGACCTCAGTGGTCAGTATCGAGCAGCAGCTGGATGGCAGTTGCACAGTGGAAAGCTCTGGAGTCGAAGAAAGCTATATCAGTAATGGCACTTAACCAGCGTAGGCTAGGCCCTTAAGCTGAGATATTGCAGGTTTCAGCCCCAGTAATGACATCAGCCAACTGTGACTAGGAATCAGGAGCGGAAGGATAAAACTGGCTTCCTCCCGCCACGGATAGGGTGCATTTTAGTTGGCTGGGGTTACCCGGGTTACTGCTCCCTCAGCTTCACTTGCCAGACTAACAGTTATTACTGTTGTCACTGTGGTGGCATAACACTGCCCAACTGCAGGGATTTCCTCTGCTACTACGTCAATGGTAATGTGCGATTTCTGAATGATCATGATCTTGTGTAGGGGAAGCACAAATGTGAGGTGGCTGTTCAGAGCTGGAAAAATCCCTGGTGGTTATTCTGTAGTTAATGTACACATAGGCAAACATACCAGGCCATGGAACTCCATTCTCTGAAATTTTAAGGCACTAATGAGCTTGCAGGCAGCTTATGCCAAAAAATGAATGCATGCTTCCTAGATGGCTTGCTCATTTTTTAGAAACAAAGTCAAAAGTAGATAAATCTAGCAATAAAGTATTCCAGTTGACAACACTGTGGACAGATGATAATTTGTAAAACGTCAGTAATGATAGAATACACAAGTAGAATTCTGAAGGGGAATTATCCTCCTGCCTAGGATTTGAGATAAGATGCAAAAAAAGCTTCTCCATCTGGATTTTGACTCAGGCAAGAAGGTCCCATGGTGTAATAGTCATCACTCTGGGCTTTGAATCCAGCAATCCGAGTTCAACGCTTGGTGGGACTTTGCCTATATGTTTGGACATCTCACTGGCTCTTTGTCAGATCTTTCCATAACGCTAGAACAGCTGTGAAGACCTATGTAAACATGTGAATCAATTTTGATGGAGCTGTGACTTGCTCTGGATAACAGCATCTGCAAAATGGTGGAAATGTAAAAATGGTTCCCTAGGCCATCTCTAGAAATCATTCATCAGTGCAATCTACCTCTGGAGAAGATTACTTTTGCTCAGGTAATATATAAATAAGTGATTTTCTAACTTATTTTCTAAATTCTCAAGATTTCCTTGTTTGCCTGGTGCTAGTTCTCTGTTAATTCAGTTTTTTGCTCTGGCTGCAAAAATATATATGAATACAAAATCTCATATTTCACTCAGGGTCAAGACTACAGCTACAGATTAACAGGGCCGTCACACCACTAATATGTATTTTTATTTCAAGTGAAAATCATAGCAAATTCATAAATGAGGTTGTTGCTATTAATACAATAAATACATGATTAGTCCAGTTCAAACACTGTGGATATAAATGTAAGTGACTGTTTTTTCAAAGCATCAAAATTTGAAAGCTTTAACAGGTCACATCATTATTGAAATTGAAGGATTTTGATCAAAACCATCCAATACTCACTTTCTGACCAAGAGAATTAAAACAAGTAATATATTTGCATAAATTCAGCTTTAAATCACCACATATCTAGGTCTGCCTCCTTTGATTTTATTTTTTTTGTGCAATAGTTGTCCTCTCTGTGGGAGGAGTCTTTTCGCATAATACCTAACATATTTGCACTGGTATTCTGGGGTTGTGGGACCAAGGATTTTCTTTCATACCCTTTTGGGGCCTCTAACCCTCTTGTGACAGCTAAACTGGTTTTACTTCATAAATTTACCCTCATAAACATTCACTGGGCCCATTGTCTTTGAAGGGAAAGCAATACAAACCACTACACACACATACAGAGAGAGAGAGGTATTTTATGAAACACAGATATGGCAGGAAAATGCTTCTGAGAGAAGAGAGTTGGGCTTTCGCAAAAGTTCAAAGAGAATTCCACCACGTAAATCATCATTTGATATGTGGCTTGCTACCTTGAAAATGTTTGATATTCATGTTTTCTGTCTCATCTCTCTGGTGTGTCTCACCTCAGTTTGGCAACCTCTCTGTTTTCTGTGACAATCACGTACCACAGTGCCTCAAATAACACTTTATCCTTTTATAGTGGGAGAGAAATTTAATTAGGCATTTTTTTGTTTTCCACAACAAATGAAATTTTTTTTGGGTGACAGATGACCAGTAAATTGTGTGGAGCTGAGAGCTGGACTCTGGTTCACAGAGACATGGTCAGGATCTGACCCAACCACCCCCCACCCCCCAGGGCTGTGCCCAGGCTGGTGCACCCCAGGGCCCTGACCTTGCACCCTTCACCCACACATGTCCTTGCCCGCTTGCTATTTTTTTCCACAAAGTTTCCCTTCTCGTTTCATTTCAACCGTTACCCTGGTTGTCATAGCGAGCCCTAGTTTCCATGGTTTCTAGCCCGCCTCTGCAATGTGGCCTTGCCTCTCCCCTCAAGTTGAGCTTGCACGACTCTATGGCGTGTCAGTGTTCCAACTCCACGTACCCTTTCCTCTCCACTCATGCTCTTCTACGACCCCCCAGGTCCAAGCCCCCACCCCCCCCCCCCCCCCCCCCCCGAACCTCCCCAGCATGACTGGGCTTAGCTACCCCTATCTCTTTATACCTTCTGTCCAGAGTAATGCAGCCACTTTCAGCTTAAAATTTTGCTCATGTGGCACTGATTTGTGGGAAGCTTTTGGCGCAAAATGGCTGCCATGCATGACCCAGATGGTCGCTACATATTGCCCGTGGTTGAGGTGAGTTCCTGCCTTTTGCTGTGAAGTGCTTTCAGGGCAAGGGATGAAAGGTGCCATCTGTGTGTTTTGATTCTCCCTGGCAGTCTACAGTACAGTGGACTACAATTTCATCCCACCACAGTGTCCTTCTCCCACCTCTGTGCTTTTGCAGGCAGTTCCACATAATTTTAAAGCCTGCTGTTTTACATTAGTCAAACAGTCACCCACCACTGCCAGCTCTGCCTTTCCTCAGGCCTACTGCAAAGCTAAACATTCCTCTTCCTGTCCTTTCTATCTCACCTGCTCGATCCCAATAATGATGCCAAAACTGAATAAAAGTTCTACAGTGTGTTTGTGTGTGTGTGCGCGCGTTTCAGTGTGTGAGACACCTTTCGCTTTTCACCTCCTTTGGCATCTGGAAGTATCAATGATTGTCTGTTTCCACGACTACCATGGTTTCCATTTAGCTCAGCTTCCCTCGGCGACGGCCATGCCACCTGTTGCTGCCTAGCCCAGCTTGGGTCCACACAGATGGGTTCAGCGCTAGCGCTGCCAAGCAGGTGTCTGTTAATCTTGTTCATAAAAGCCAAGTTTGCGCTCAGAGCTTTGCTTCATTCAGCGCTCCAGCGGGAGGTGTGACTCCTATTTCACGTCTGATTTAACATGAGTAAAATCCATGCCATTAGCGCTCGATACAGAAACGACACATGCGTTCTCTCGCCCCTCTCTCTGTTTCTCGGCTGCCTTGCTTGCCCGTACTGGTGACATCTAAACCTCATTAAAACATGCTTTACTTCACATCATTCCCAGGTTTGTGCTTCTAGCACTAGCCTACAATGTTCATACGGTTCGATCCTCAGAAGCACCATAAGGCTGAGATATTACACACACAAACTGTGATGCTCACACAAATACAAAAGAAGCCAAGGCTGTCATGACTTAAAGTCATTTTGCTTTTCTAATGACCTTTTTGGCTGTATGTTCACCATTACCATGTTGCTTTTAAGCATTACTGACAGGCAATATTTTTTGTTTTACTGTTGTACATATTTTATTCAGTTTTTATGTGTAATCCCTATTCAGAGCAATCCTGGGTCTTTGTATCTCTTACTCTTGTTCTTGCTGATCCTTTGATGTGTATTTAATGTATTGTGTCATAAAAGCCTTGCATGTCATTTTGGATAAGAGCATCTGCCAAATAAAGAGAAGAATAATAACAGTGTACACCCTCATTACATTTTCCCCTGACCTCATCTTAATGGGTTATTGGATGACACTTCAAACCATGGTCCACATATTAATGCTTAATAAACCATTAATAATTATATTATACTTAATTAATACACACACTTTCAATTTGTTAATCCAACATTGATATACATCAGTGAATGTTTTGTTAAGGAAGGTGGCAGGAGCTGTCAGATTGAGAAATTTCATACATGGTTTCATTCAGTACGATGTGATGTACTCTCATCTAAGACAAATGAAACCTTGAGGGACATTTTCAATCTGGAAATCATGTAATCCTTTGCAGACAGTTACCAATATGACTTAATGTTAAACTAATCCACAACCCTTTCTAAGTGTCGCACTGTATATCCACTTCTTTGATCAATTACCTTTCCTTTCCTATTTACTTACCATCCTTTGCATCCTAGCTCTGCAGAGCAGTTCAGTATTGAAACCTGCTGATGCAGTCCTCTCCCATATTTTTCAATCTGTGTTTCAGAGAGAGCTCCAGTTTTGCTGATGGGAGGTGAGAGTACCTAAAGAAGGCTGGCAAGGGCTTGTTGTTGACTGATGCAGAGATCAATGTCACTTAGAATATAATGAACGACCATAAAGATAACATATGGTATCAGTAGGAAAAGGAAGGATGTTCGCTCAGAGGGCAGGGCAGCTTAATTGCATATTAAGTTTAGAGTTAAAGTCAGACCTTGGCATGGTCTGTACATCGTTTACACATGCAAGTAATTATCTTACTTGAGCAAATGTAAGAATGTCTAAAATTCATCTTGCACATTAAAATCCCTTTTATATGTAAATGTGGCAAGCAGGAAAGATCACTTCGTGTTCTTGTCTTTGAACTCTCGAATAGAGTGAACCCTATGAAAGAGTGTATTCTGTAATTATATGAGGTTTGGAACCAATTCATGTTGTACTGTATGTAACCCAGGCAACCAAAAACAAAATATCTTTAATATGAATAAATGTAGCTCTCGTGCTTATGGGTAATCCTGCTTGGCAGGTTTATATCACTTGAGTTCTTTCTTTGAGGCAACAAATAATTTCCAAGGGCGTGTGGATGGATCATCGGGTTGGGCCAAAAGAGCAGATCCAGGGCTCAAGGTTTCTGCAGCGCTCTGACTCAGCTGTGGCCACACAGGAATCTTCACTCACTGAAAGCACAGGGGTTTTGACTCCATGGCTTATTGAGTTTCAAGGTTGGGTTCTCTGAATGTTGATAGCACACAACCATCTGAGCTGTCAATTACACTTACCTTCCGAGCAATGTCCTACAAGTATGCAACACATGTTATTTTTTGATGCATTCGTTAGCTACTTTCTGTGTGTGTCTGTGTGCTTGTGTGTTTTTGTCTGTGTGCGCACCCATGTATATGTGTGTGTTTGTGTGAGTTGTGTGTGTGTCTATGTGCATGGATATGTGGGTGCATGTGTGTGTTTGTATGTTTGTGAGAGTGCATTTGTTTGTGCATTTACAGTATGTGTGTGTTTGCGAGCATATGAATATGTGTGTGTTGCAAGTGTGTGTGTACATGTCAGGGTATGTTAGTGTGTCTGTTCATGTGCATGCATTGTTAGTGTGGTTATAGGTCTGTGTGTGTCTGTTGTGCATAGGTATGGGTAATTTTGGGTATGAGTGTGTGTGTGTTTTGAGTGAATGTTTTTAAGTTTGTATGAGAGTTTGTGCGAGTGGTTATGAACATGTGTACATGTCCTTCTGCATGTGTGTGCACATGTGTATGCATTAGGGCATGTATGAGTCTGTGTGTGTGTGTGTGTGTGTGTGTGTGTATGTTTATGACTATAAGTGTGTGCATGTCTACATGTGTATGCATGAGTCTTTGTGCGTGTGCGTGTGGTGAGCAATGTGCGTGAGCGTGGCTCCATGTCAGTCTAATTCTGAAGGTTA